CCAGATGGCTTCACCAGTGATTTCTACCAAATATTCAGAGATGAACTATCACCAATTCTACTTAAATGATTTAAAAAAAAAAAAAAATAGAAAAACACTCCCAGAGTCATTCTATGAAGCAAGTAGAATTCTAATACCAAAACCAGGCAAAGACATTACTAAAAAAAAAAATAAATTACAGTCCAATAACTCTCATGAAAATAGAATAAAAAATCCTTAACAAAATCCTAACCAGCAGAATCCAACAGCACATCCAAAAAATAACTCATCATGATCAAGTGGGATTCATAACACGTATGCAGGATGGTTCAACACAAGAAAACCAATCAATGTAATTCATCACATAAACAAAGCAAAGAATAAGAACCACATATGATCCTATCAATAGATGTAGAAAAGGCCTTTGATAAAGTCCAATACCCCTTCCTGACTAAACACTCAACAAAACAGAAATAGAAAGGAATTTCCTCAACATAGTAAAAAAAAAAAAATATGTAAAACCAATAGGAAACTTCGTTCTCAATGGAGAAAGCCTAAAGACTCTTCCCTTGCAAAAAGGGACCAACAAGGTTGCCCACTGCCACCACTCCTATTCAATAAAGTATTAAAATACCTGCTGGGAAGGGAGCTTTGGTGGTCTAGTGGCAAGAAGTCATACTGCAATCCAAAGGTGCATGGTTCAAATCCACCAGATGCTCTGCCGGAGAAGAAGGGGCAATCTCCTCCTGTACCAGTCAAATCTGATTTGATGGTAACACAACAAGAAGGGTGTGGGGGGTGAGAAAGTACTTGCTAGGGGAATGAGGCAAGAGAAGGAAATGAAAGGCATTCAAATTGGCAAAGAGGTGGTAAAGCCATTTCCATTCACAGATGATATATATGATAGTGCATACAGAAAATCCCAAAGACTCAACCAAAAACTGTTAGAGCTAGTAAACTAATCTAGTAGAGTGGTAGGATATAAGATCACAATAGGAGGGGGAAAATCAATAGGATTTCTCTACAGTAACAAAGAAAACATGGGAAAAAAACCAAAGAAAGCAATACCATTTACAATAGCCAACCATAAATTGAGATTATCTGGGAACAAACCTAACTGGAGACACAAAAAACCTTTAAGGAAAACTACAAAACACTTCTACGAGATACAGTAAGAGATCTTGTTGTTGTTATGTGCCCTAGAGTCGCCTGTGACTCAAAGAGACCCTATGTACAAACAGCTCCAAACCCTGCCCAATCCTGTGCCAATCTCATTACCCCAGTCACTGAATTGATCTATCTCATTGAGGGTCTTCCTCTCCTGCGCTGTCCCTCCACCCTCCCAACCCTCCCAAGCATGACATCCCTCTCCAAGGACTGGTCCCTCCTTGCAACATGTCCAAAGTATGTCAGACGAAGCTTCGGAATTACTAAATGGGAAAATATTTCCTGTTCACGATAGGAAGTCTTAATGTAGTGAAAATGACAATCCTAGCAAAAGCAATCTGGGGATGGGTGGGTGAACGAATTAGGAAAGATCCAATGGGGACATGAAAAGGCTGGTAACAGAAGGCATGTATCATGCTGAATAATTGTATAAAGCATAATGTACTTAACTGATAATCTGAAACACATTACGAATATAGGAACGTGTGAAACACAGTGTACATGAATGATACACAATATACATCAATTTTGCCTGTGAACCAAAACTAAAGGGGGGGGGGGAGTTAAAACAACAAAAACCTTAACACCTTTAAAGAAATTCCCCATTCCTTAGGTCACTGGTTTAAAAAAAAGAACCAAAACACAAATTAAAAAACCTTACCCTTAATTAATTCAGAATAATACCCCCAACAGAGACTGAGAAAAAAAAAAGGACAGATGAAACAATATAATCAAAGCTTTCTTCAAGGCTTCATTGTTGAATATGTTGGTGCATGGGATCCACTGTATTTCATGCCTTCTGTGTATATTTGAAAACATTCTTGTCGCCCACCTCCCCAAAAAAATAAGCTATGCATCAGTTTTGTTGTGAACTATTTTAAACAATCAGAAAGCGGGAAGACAGCTGTTATGTAGATTCAGTCTTGTATCCCATGCCCATCTCAGTCTATGTGGCTGTTTTAGTTTTCCTCTCTCTTTCCAGCCCTCTGTGTGTAATATTAGGTATGTTTTTTGGTGAGAAAAATTTGTATTTAGAATTAGCCAGCTGCACTCAGTTTAGATGATCCCAATATTATTGGCAACATCCAAAGCATCATCGTCAGGAGCAAGTCGAACATAGGCCTTCTTCTCTCCATCAGGCCTAATCAAAGTGTTGACCTTGGCCACATCAGTGTCCAAAGAAGTTACAGCTTGTTTAATTTTGGTGCTTGTTGGCTTTGACATCCACAGTGAACACAAATGTGTTATTATCTTCTATCTTCTTCAAGGCTGACTCAGCGGTCAGGAGAAACTTGATGATGGCATAGTGGTCAAGCTTGTTTCCGCTGGGGGTGCTCTTCACGACTGCCTTCTTGACCTTTAATGCCTTTGCTTTGGCTACAGTTTTGGGAGGGGCAGGAGATTCCTTCTTTGCTTTAGGGGCCATCTTTGTAGAAAGGCTAAGTATATATAGGTGCATTGGCATTCTGCTAAATCTGGGAGTTAAGATTCATTTTCTTTTTATTAAGATTCATTTTCTTATACTTGAGCCCACGAGCCTGTTGGAGTCATGGTCAGGCTTGTCTTTGCTGACAAGACAAAGAGGACAGAGAGGTATTTGCCACAGGAGAGTTATCTGTGACAGGGTAAGTTATTTGCTGACTCCTCTTCCAGGATCCCGGAGGTCCAGGGCTGAGCCACACACACACCTGAAACCTAAGCTTTTTAAAGAGACCCCCTGTCAACCAGACCTTACGTTTACCTTTATTGAGGACTGTGAGAGGCTTCCGGCTGCTGGAGTCCAGGTTGCTGGGAGCAATCGAAAACCTAGGTGGGATGGTGAGGCAGGTGACAGGGAGACGGACAGGGATGTAACCAGAAGTGAAGAAGTCATCGTTGAGCAGCTCGTTAATGCTCGGGCGAGCAGAGGGATCCAGCTGGAGCATTTTCTGGATAAGGGAGGCTGCTACAGGGTTGATGTGCTGCAGTGAAAGAGAGTCGTGAGCCAGATGTGACAGAGCATGTAAAGCAAAGCTTAACCATTTTGATGGTGTTTTTTTTTCTTCTGAATTTTCTCAAGCATAATAAAAGTTGCTTACCCTTATCGTACAGAATAGAAACTGTGGAAGTCATAAAGATGTGGGTTCAAATCCCAACTCTAACCTTCAAAAGTAGCTAACCCAAAAGTGGAGCCTCTGGTGGTTCAAATCCACTAGCAACCTCACAAGATGAGCAAATCTCCTCTTGTGCAATTTATAGCCTCCAAAAATTTACTGGAAGGTCAGCTATGAGCTAACAGCAATAAGGTGGTAGCTATTTGATGGGTTGGGTTTTTTTTATAAGCAATCTACATATTCAATGCAATTGCATTGGTGAGGCTGTGTATTGTTAAGTCAGAACCAACCCATAGCTGACCATCCAGTGGGTTTTCAGAGGCAGTTAATCGCAAGGGAGATTTCTCATCTTTCTCCTGCAGAGGAGCTGGTGGATTGCAGTGCAGCTTCTCGCCACTAGGCCACCAGAGCAGCTGGGTGTTTTGACTTTTTCAATGTTACTTTGGGCAAGAAACCAGGCTTTCTAAGTTCTTTGTATCATCAACTGTAAAATGGGCAGATAGCACCACTAGACCTTAGAAATTCAATGAGCTATAACCTAGCCAAAGGCACAATGACAGCAGTCAAGTATTAACTACATACATAACTATGTGCCAGGAAAGTGTCCAAGGCACTAAGTATGTTAATGCATCCATCTGTGAGCTGGGGAGGGAGTTCCATTCTCATTCCTCTTTTGCACGAGGAAACAAAAGCATAAAAGGTTCAGTGCCTTGCCTAAGAACACTCACCCAACAACGCTGTTTACACACCAGGAGTCTAGCTGGCTTACGCATCCACATGCTGACTGACACTGGGTGGCAGAGTCACTCCTTCTGCCTTTTATGGGCAGACAGGGTTCCTGGCTACACACAACAGGACTGCCAACTAGAAAGCAGGCGTGAGCCAGGCTTGGGCAAGAACACGCTGCTCCTCTACAAGCATTCATGCCGGTGGCTGTAAGAGCAGAGACCACTTTGCTATTGGGTTCAGAGTGGCTGATGATTCTAGGAACATTGAACCCAAACAACAAAACCAAACCTATTACTGTTGATTCCAACTCAGTGTGGCCCTACAGCCTGACAGGGTTTCCCCAAGGCTGAGAACTTAATGGAAAATCGTTGTGTGTTGTCAAGTTGGAAGTGTGACCCATAGCTGACCCTCCAGCAGGTTTTCAGAAGCAGTAAACTGCACAGGAGGAGAGTAGACTACTGCGTCTTTTCCCTGCAGTGGCAGGCAGGTTCAAGTTCATAGGTGAGCACTTTAGCCACCGCACTACCAGGGTGCCTTAAGATCCTCGGGAGTGGTCCATTTTCTAGATGTGTAACTGTGGTCAAGAGATTCAGACCATTTGTTTAAGGTGCTCTATCTAGCTGGTAAGTGACAGAGCCAATCTGATCAAAGCAGTGCATTTTGAAAATTCAATACTTCTGTCTCCTACTTGTTTCTCAATTTTTTGTTTTAGCCTTTTAACACATTTGTTGGGTCATACCAACTCTGGGAAACTACAAAGTCTCTAACTTGGAACAGCAGCTAAACGAATTGGGTCCACAGGATACAGCTGGATTCAATAAACAGCTTAAGTAAACAATAAACAAAAAGCTTAAAATATTGTTAGTAACCTTGGGAATACTGTATTCATTCTTCTTGATCCGGAGGTAGGTCTCTTTCAGACATGATGTCTCAAAAGGCGGCTTGCCCACTAACAAAGTATACCTGTAAGTATAAGACAGATTTAGCTCAAGGCTCTCAGTCAAAATCTAGGTGCAGAAGACTAAGCCTCCTCTAGGTCTAGGGCTTCTGAAATCAGTTCCCAAGTCCACACAGCAGCCCAAGAGCCAAGACCTGGGATAGGGCCTCAGTATAACACTGGAGTGATATCAACATTCTTAGGGTCCAGTGATTTTTTTCAACTCCAGCATACAGTATTAATTAACTTAGCACTCCAGAAAGGCCTCTCGGGCTACACAAAGCAGGTTCAAGTAAGCAAGCTCCCAACTCTTACAGAAGCAGCTCTGTTTTGTTATTCTGTACTTAAGGTTCGCTATTTTTATTGGGGGGGGGGGGGCACTACTATAAAGAACTATGAAAGACATTGCCACATCTCATTTCTAACTCTCCAGGATGCAGGGTCAACAGAAATGGCAGCACCTGAAAAGCCCCACAAAGCTGCACACCACATAACCTCTGCTCTGACGGCCTGGGCCTGAACAAACCACAGGCACCCCCAACATGGGGTCAGCTCCCCACCCGATGCCACTCTCCAGATGCAGAGACCAGCTTATCTAATGTGGGACTCTGATCCACACTCGGGATTTGCATTTCTAACAAGTTCCAGCAGCTGCTGCTTCGTCTGTAGACCCCCATAAGTAGTGAAGGGCTAGAGTAAAAAGTTTATGGAAAAATTCTGACTAGCATGGGTCCTTCCTTCCTGGAGCCATGGCTCAGACTTCAGGAATCTTCTAGAATACTCCAAAGTAACAAGATAAGAGAAATGAGGATTCGTTTTTAGGCTATCTGTCCTTTTTACCCCATTAATCAACCTCCATGTAATTATCACAACTTCAAGCCACCAGGACACTGGTCCCCCCAACACCCTTAACCTTCTCCTCAGCTCTTCTGCTGAAGAACTGGCCTTCACAATGACTGGTTCCCCAACACTTTGTAGTAACCTGATCAAACCACGTCAGTGATGGGGGCAGCTCCAGTTTTATTTTTTGTAGCATTTACCACTGTCTGCTCACAGACCAAGATCTATAAATTAGTCAAGGTTGAGTGGGGCAGAAGCTCCAATTCCTCTTCAGGTGGTAACGTCTCAGACCAACCTTTCTCAAATCACCTGGATGGTTTATAGCTTTAAAGGTCAGTCTGATGCCTGTCGCTAACCTGGTGACTGACTGTGCCACAAGACCCCACAGCCAGTGAATAAGGTCAGCAGTTACTCTTCGAAAGCTCTAGCACACCAAGGCAACAATCAATACCCAAGCATGACTCTAGCCTCGATTAGACCATCTAGGCCAGCTGTCCTTTAAAACAGCTTCTATTTAAGGTAAACTATCCCCAGGGAAAAGCTGGTCAGGTAAAATAACCAAAAAGGGCCCCTCCAGAAGCCAAGTGTGTCCTGAGACAATTTTCAACTTACATGATACATCCAATGGACCACACATCCACCTCGAAACTGTGCCCTTTCTTGCTCAACACCTCGGGAGCAATGTAATTAGGAGTCCCACACAGGGTCTTCTTCCGTTCCCCATCATACTCAACTTTGGTGGCCAGGCCAAAATCCCCTGGGACAGAAAGATGAAGAGGGGGAGATCAAATGCCAGTTTCTGCCAACTATGGACACAAACAGCTGGTTCAGATTGGACCATCAAGCTCCACAGTCATTTGGTCTCATAAGTCCTTCCCCCTCGCACCCAGAGAGGCTTTCCAGGGAATCTTCCCACTTGCTGACCCCAAGGTTGCACCTCCCAGTTTCCCTAAATCCCTTTACAAAATAGGAAGGCTTGGCTTCTAAAAGGCAACTAGATAAGAACAGCAAAATTCAAACCTCCCCCAAGAATCAATCAAGGAAACTCATGACTGCTGCTTGACCAGTCTATGAGGCGTCAGCGGAGGTGGGAAAGGTGGTTGACTGGAGGATGTCTAAAGTGGCAGGTGTTTTAGTCCGGAAAGGGGCTGCGTGGAGGGAAAGCTATTTCTATGCTCCTGGGGCTTTTATCCATTTAGAAAGGGCTTCAAAGTCACAATTCCATGTCACCTCCCACGTGAAAAAAAAAACCACCCCAACTCTTTTTTTAGGAAATGCACTGCACGCAAGAAACTTGCAGGCTCTTTGTATTAATTTCGAGACTGAAAGAGAAGCACCAGGAGCAATCAGTACCTGAGATTCCCATCGTCCTTCCGCCTCTTCCTCATGCACCTTCCAGAGGTGTGCCACCCCACCCCCATCCCGTGCAGGTCCAGCACCTCACCTATTTTCACCTCCAGATCTTCGTTCAGAAAGAGGTTGCCCAGCTTGAGGTCCCGGTGAATGACCCTATTTCGGTGCAGGTACTGGCAGCCCAGGACAATCTGCCGCAGGTAGTAGCGGGCCTCGGGCTCGGTCAGCGCTTTCCTTCGTTTGTGCAGCTCCAGGAGAGACTGGGCCAGGTTTAAGAGGCAGAAGGGAGAGGCAGGATTTAGGGCAGTGCGTGGAGTTACTAGGGAAAGGCAGCTCAGGTCTGCACCCCCAAAGGGCAGGCCGAGCGATAGGGGAGGGGTCTTAGCAGGTACTTCCCATTCCGTCTCCAGGGGAGCTGCAAGCTGGGCCCTTGCTCTAACCCTGTTTACAAGACCTCACAAACTCCTCTTCCCCTTCCCCCATTCCACCAAGCACCATTCTACCAACATCCTTATCTGGGTCCCCTCTTCCAGGCCCGATCCGGAAGCCGAACCCACAGTATCCAGCCCCTCCTGCGCCTCTGAGCTTTATCTCTATGCAGACTTCTCTCCCCGGAAGTCCCAACATTGGGCACTCCAGCTTCTCTGTGGCCTGCTGCCCAGTCCCAATCCACAAACGCCAGATCTCCAGCATCCCTAACCCTGAACTCCTCCCATAGCAACTCTCAGTGGCCAGGCGTCAAGTACCAGCCAGTCCTCCCCTTTCCAAACGCCTGGAAATCCCCTCTCCAAGCAGTTTCCAATGTCAAACACCACCCCAGGGCTTCCCCTAGAGTCAGCCCTTCCTCCCTAGCAGCTCCCGGTCCCCAGCGGCCCAACCCTGCCTGCCTCCCCGCTTCCACCAGCTGCAATCCAGCAGCGACTCTCACCCTTCGACGGCAAAGCTCGAGCACCACGAACACGAAGTCACTGTCCTCGAAAAATCCGTGGAAACCAACGACATGCTGATGGGCGAGGCTGCGGTGAATCGCTATTTCCAT